AAAAAAAATAATAATAATAAAATAAGATAACTTTTATTGTGCTTATACTGTGGTAAATTGCTAATGAGGTAGGCATGTGGAGATGATGACATCCTAATGCGCATGCTTGCGCAGTCACTCATAAAATAATGGTAATTAGAAAGATGCTTGAGATCATTAGATACAATAAACAAAGGAGTTACGCGTTACATCAATTAAAATCAGTTGTCTATTTTAACCATTTTAAGCTAGGCGTGCTAGAATATGTGGGGTTCGATATTAACATACATATCCAACCTACTAATTTGCCCCATACATACTTATATATCTTTTTTTTTTTTTTTTTTCCTTGGATAAGTCAACCCCACACAATTATGATCAATTAACCCATGCAACGACATCAATAGGCATGCACAAAACCAATATTTTTGTATTCCCTAACAATGAAAATAAGAAAAATACAAAATTAAAAGTGAAAGAAAAAATAAAAATCCACCTAACACCAAAGAAAAGGCCACTAATAGTTGACATCTCCACCTCCACCACCGTTCCTCTGCCGGCCGTCTCATTTTCGGTCGGCCACGAATGTCTGGAAAACGACGCTCCCGGCGCTCGGGAACTCGCCTGCCGTGCAGCTGGTCAGCCGCATCCCTAGAGGCTCGACCGCCTTCGCCATACCCCTCCACACACTATTCCTAACCGCGGGCCCCACCGTCGTCGAAACTGAGACCTTCCCGGGCCCGAAAACCCCGATCACTCTCTTCAAGACCTCGAGAATCGTTCCCCTCCCGTCGCGTGTGGACCCCACGCACTCGAAGCTCGCGTAGCTGAACCCGTCCTCGGGCGTCACGTGTATCGTCGAGTAGCGGTCGAGGTCAAGCCCGTTCATCGAGTATCCGCAAGGGTCGAACGCGTAATCGCATATGAGGGCATTTTCGTTAATTTTTTGTATGCCGGAGGCCCTCGTCATCTCTTTCCCGGCCGAGTCCCCGTTGAGTTTCCCTCCGTCGAACCGGAAGAAGTTCCGGGCGAGGGTGGGGTCCAGCTCGGTCATACAGATCTCCACGGTGTAGGAGTCGTCTACGCTCGCGCCCACCGAGTTTATCGTGTACGCGTCGTCGAAAGCAGTGAAAACATGCCACTTGTGGTTGGATTTGGAGTTCATTGTGGAGGCCTTCTTTTGGGTGAGACTTTTTGGCAAGTTTGACTCTAAGTAGATGACTTCATTTTTAAAGCTAGTGTGGGGGTAGGGTTGAGCTTGGGGGAAAATGAAGCTGCCGCGGGTGTATCTACACCCGAGGAGGGTGAGGCCCAACGAGAGGCCGTGGTCGATGAACGGGTGGACGGACTTGAGGAGTTGAGTGGTCCCACATGTCTTGATGACGATTTTGGTGGGGTACACGAAGAGGCTCGACTCGGAGAGGACATACGAGTCGAAATGGGCGTTGCCGACTGCAGAGACCACGGTGCACTGCACTGCGTGCAATACTTTCTCGAGGGAGGGGAAGTCGAGACGACGGAGGCCGCCTTTGCCAGAGGTGGGGTCGTCGCCGGAGAAGTGGAGCTCGAGCCTCTTCTCGAACCCTTCAAACCCCGAGGCCGCCATAGGGATTAGTAAATCTTGTAGAGGGGAGATTGGAATTTGTTGAAAATTTTGGATGAGAAGATGAAAAATGGGATTTGGTGTGATGAGTTGTTTTAGAGAGTGTACTGAGTGTGAAGGAGAGAGGTGATTGGGTTGTACAAGAGTGTGTGCTTATATATAAGTGATTGGGGTTGGGGACAATTGGGCATGCTTGTGAGTCTTGTGAGGCAACAATTTGCTAAAAATTAAAAAAAAAAAAATTATAATAATAGTAATAATAAGAAAAAGTGTTTGGAGGCATAATGAGTGCAGGATGATGGTTACTTTAGTGTGTTGTAACATATTTTGAAGACAACAACATGAATCTAAATTCATGATTATGAGCATTCTTGTTATGGCCATTTCTTTCTTTCTCTCTCACACACAAATGTAGGATCTTATTTGGAGAGCTACATCAAGTTTAAGGATAGTTAATGAAAGTTGTTTATCTAATTTTATGCATGAACAATGTATTTGTTACAAAGATAGAATAGATTCAAATGAATTATTTTAGACCTTTTCTCAATTCTCATTTTCCAAGTTTTGATATTCATTCTCTTTTCCTTCTTTTCTTTCTAATCTTTTCTTTTTTCACTATTAGGCTAAAAAAAACTATTACTATATGTTAAAATATTGTAAATGTTGTTAAATAAGTCTAACGATTAGACAGTATTTTTTTTTTCAACAGATATGTATACTTTTAAACTTAAGTAATTAACACTCCAAAAAATAATATAAGCAACAGTATTTTAATTTTTTATACATGATCTTATATTTATGATTGTTTTTAGGTTTGACTTCATCTAAAAGCTAGCCATGTTAATTTACTTAATTAATTCATTTGCAAAATAATAAAACCTAAAATGATACCTAGAGTAGCTCAATAGCTTCATGCTCGACATGAAAATTACATTCATGAGCTTCAATAGAGTTCATAATTATATTAGCCCTATTTGAAAAAAATACCAAATATGTTAGTTTGCCACTTGGAAATGCATATATAATTAGAGGGGAGATGTTACGATCCCGTTACGGAATCATTCTGTCAGAGTTTGTTACCGTTATATAAACTATCCCCGACAGTTACATGATGATATAACGGTTATAAACCCGACGATGTAGCATTTCCTTATAATTAGTGATTGTTGACACTCTAATTTGACCATATTTGATGATTGGATAAATTAAATTAATTAATAGGACACACCCAATATGCGTGGCTGACTAATTATTAATTATATAGAGCATAAAAAAAAAAAAAAAACATAATTATATAAGTATATGTTTCAATGCATGACATCAATTATTATTAATCACCCTAAGGAAAGGCAGGTTCACTTAATTAATTGTCCTTCTATAATTAATATGTTTCTGTCCAAGGGGCACAAAGTTGAAACACCCATAATATATCTGTTATTTTCATTAAAATGTATTTTACTATTATTACAGAAAAAAAAAAAATAATATTTCAATGTTAAATGTAATATATATTTTTATTTATATTGTACGTATTTTATAGTATATATTATGACATTTGAGTATAGATGAAGATTTTTATATTTATTGAAGGTACAATGATAGTAAATGTACTAAATATTTTGAGTGCTAATTCACTAAAATAATATTGTATTATAAAAACTATGAAACTATTGTTAATTAATATGTTTTTTTATACATCCTATAGTTACTAGACTACTTGTAATTTGTAAAATTAGTCCAAATGCAAAAAGTTAAACAATGCAATATGGTATCCCCAAAATAGCCCCAAATATAATTTATTTATTTATATACTATATTTAATATAACCTTCTAAAAAAAGTTTGAAAATAACAGGTTGAAAGGGACAACGGCGTCATTTCACAAGGCAGCAGGAGTGCCTTAAAGAATGTCAGCCGTGCCCAAAATCATCAAAATCTTCACGAAAAATGAGAAAAATAAACCAGTGCATATTAATTTTTAAAATTCAGGCGTGGCAGTAAATATAATTAGACAAGCACGATTTTCATTTTTTTTTTTTTTTGGAAATTATGAATTGCTTCTTGATCAAACATGTTACTAATAAATAATACAAAAATGTTGATAAAAAAAAAAAAACAAATCCCCTTAACTTACAAGCTACTTTTTTTTTTTGTAGCTAGTCACGGTATCCAGAGCTATGCCCCTACTAATCCGTTGGTCGACTCGGGTCGCACACCTGGCAGTGGTGGGTGAGTCTCCCAACAAGAGTTTTCTGCATCCACAATGACTCGAACTCGAGTCCTTACAAGCTACTTTAATTGAACTAAAAAATAATATTAGTCATTTTTCTTTTTTTTTTTAAAAAAAATAATATTGGCAATTTACTTGCTAACAACACAACACACATAAAATTGACCATGCCTTGATAAAAATAAATAAATAAATAAAAACCAATACAAAAACAATAACAAATTATATATATATTTTTTTTTTTCGAATATAAAAGAAGACAATAAAAGAAAAT